TAGGAGAAGTTAAGGAGTCTTCACCTTAAGAAGAAAGAGGATGAAAAATATTAGGAAAAGCATTTCAAAGAATAAGTTCAGCCAAGGCATCAAAGAGAACCTGTTGATTCTAATAGGAAGCCTGAAACAGCATTTGTTAGGAATGGCATTAGTATAGGGAACCTGCCAGATGGGCCAGATGGACTATAAAGGCTCCTCTAGACCTGTGTTTTTTGTGATCTTGCAGTGGAGAGGAGCAAAGACCAGATTAAGCAATCTCTAGGAGAGCTGCAAGAGTACCCAAGAAGCCTCTAATCTATCTTCCAGTTTATCTTGTTCTTCTCTTTGAGTGAGGAATGTTAATTAAAATATCTCAAGGAATTTGGACAGCAATTATAAACTCTTACAATAGGCAGCCTGAGGCAGTCCACCTCACAAAAACATCTCATATTTTATATTTTGCTTTGCTTTTTTTCATGGATTCAAGTACTTTTCATGCCATGTTCCCACTTCAGCATGTACCGTATTTACTCTCCTAATCACTAGCTGAAAGTATTTGATTACCAGTCATATGCCCAGCAGTTTCACAATAGGGAAGCAGAACAGCCTCTTTATCCACTTTGACAGGAAAATTTGGGGGCTACACAGGAGCAAATACCATACATCACTTCAGGCATGCTAAAACGCTCACAGAAGTTGCTTGTGCCACACAACACACACAAAAGGGCCCCTCCGTTCTCTGCAAGTCCCCATCAGCCGGGCTGCCAGTGGGAAGAAGCCTCCCCTGAGGTGAACCACGAGAGGATCGCTTACAGGGACTGGGTTTCTGGCATTCATGATGCCCAGGAACTTTTCCCCAGGCTGCTGAAAAAAAGCTTTGGTCTATATACAGATGTTTATTTCTCTTCTTGGAATGATAAGACGGTATTTGTCTGCCGGAAATCTGACTGCCCAGTTCCCAGGTCTGCAGATAGTGGAAGCACTTCCAGATCCCTCAACAAAATGTGCAGAAAGGAAGCTCTTGCTACAAGGCTGAAGAAGAGTCTTCAGAATGCAAAAAAATAGTGCTCACGAGAAATTTCTCTTTTCCCAGAAACAGCAAAAAAATATCCCTTATTTCTACTGGCTATTACTGTTCATAAACATGGAATAGGCTTTAAAAGCCTCTATTGTCAAGGAGAAGAAAATTATTTGGGAAAAAAGGATTTTCATCCTGTCTGAAGGGGAAAATTTGTAGCAGAAACTTTACAAGGAACAACTTTCCCTTCCCCTGCCCTGCTCCTTTCTCCTGGAAGAAAAAAAAATAAAAAAATAAAAAAATAAAGATAATAAGAAAAAAAATCCAGCCAGAACAAAAACCTAGCTACTGCAGGTAATAATAAGAATCCACTCCTTCTCCACCCTCCCCTTGAAAACATAAAACATATCTTCCTGTTGGCTCTCCCTGTACAGGCAGAGGCACTGATGCAATCTCTCGTCACTGAAGAAGGAAATGTCTCTATCTCAGTCTGCATCTTTATCCCCCTCAGCAGCTTGACTAAGCAGATTAAAAGAACAGACAAGCGCACACTGAAGAAGCATTAAAGGCATAACAAAAACCAACTGCCAGCTCAGTGAGGAAGGACAGCAATCGGCCGCAACTGCTCAGGAATTAAAATAGGCTGGAAGAAAGCGAGCACAGCAGATACCCTGTAGGTAGGTGGCTCCCTCGCTTAGCCACAGGCTTCCAGCCCCCTATGAAGACGAGCGCTGCAGCCGTGCAAAGGTTTCAACACCACCCCAAGGCTGTCATCTCCCTGGGTTCTTTGGGAAGAGCGAGAGCTGACGGCTTCTCCACGGCACCCTGTCATCCCTGCTTTCACTCCTTCCCCCTTGCCTTCCCCACCCAAAAAAGAACAGCCGCTGGCTTCTTCCCTCACACCTACTGACAAGGTGAGTCTGAAGCTTGGCAAGTGCCAGCCCGTGACAAAGCACAATCAACCAAAGCAGGAGCCCCCCTGTTTGGATTTGGGGATAAAAGGAAACCATCCAGCCAATGAAAATATTCTACAGACAAAAGCAAGCAAGAAAGGAAAAGAACAATGCCCTGAGATCATACTGAGAAAGTGCATTTCTAAATGAAAACCGTGACAGGAAAATAAGAGCAAAATAAACTATTTGATAGACATTCCTTTAAGCTTCCAGAAAATTATTCCAGAAACTGCCACAAATTGTTACATATGATCAGAGAGTCAACTTCAATTTATTTCTCATTTTTCCTGGGTAACAAATTAAATCTGTATATATGTAAGTTATTGTTCTCATCTGTTACTACATGGGCCTAGACAAGCCATTAAAAAAAAGGAAAAGGACAACATTTCTTCATACTTCTGTTGCTAACCACATTGATTAGCTGGGAGATGTTCAACTCTTCCTGCAAAATAAGTAGCATTCCACAAAAAGATTAAAATAAAAGTCTTATAAAAGCATTCCTGATTATTTGATACAAAAGGAGACTAAGTATATGCAGACTTACAAAAGAAAAAAAAAGATGACGTTATGGAAAAACACAAAAGTGAAGAGTGCTGCATGATGGTGAGGAGTTCTCGTAAAAGAAAGAGAAAACAACACTCCAAAATTTATGTTCTCTGGCTTGATTCCTTCAGAGCAGATGTGGGGACTGAGCACCAACAAGGAAACAGATGAGTAGCAATAGCTCCTGTTAGAAATGCACTTAACACAACAATGAAAAATGGTGAAAAAGAAATGATCAACCAATATATGTATTGTATACTGTAAATTCACTTATCATGTAAATACTACCCAAGATTTATCACTTACAACTGTTAAATCTATTTTCCTTGCATTTCTTCAAACAAGGCAGTCTAGGGAAATTACAACAGCTCCCTGCAGTCAAACCACTTCTGCTAAGACCTCATGTAGAGCAGGCCACAACCACCACTTCAAAAACGATCACCAGCTTCTGCGTCAACTTCAGCAGACCCAGTTCTTAGGAGGTGCTGAATGAACACTCACAGGTGTGCTCAAGTCAACCGTATCTCAAATCATCTCATTAGCTTCTATGTCATAGGCCACAGTTGAAAATATTGAGATTATCTTTGAACATTGGCTAAAAACTTTATTAACTTGTAAGAACATAAATCTAACTATAGTAAGGACTTCAGCTTCGTAAGGTTTTTGGTTTTATTTTTTTTCTTTTTTGAGATATGTAATTCAGAAGAGGTACTTTGAAAGTACAAAGAGATTGGATTTTAGTCGTAAACCAGACTGAGGAAAGTTTACATCTCTGCAACCTTAGCTAACGCTCTAAATGATACTTGAATAAAAGAAAAATAGGAAAGGGTATATTGCTTAGGGTATCAGCTGTACAAGCTGCTACATCTAGCCCCCAACAGCACAACTCCTCAGGTCATCCTCCTCCTTTCTGCAACAAGTCCAGTGTTGCCTAAAAATGTTTTGTACCAGGGTTTCCAGTAGTGTGCTTACAGGAGAATTTGTAACAGCCATTTCTGTTCCATCTGCCATAGGAATCCATTCCCAGTCTGCCTGATGCAGAACACATCTTTTACATGGCATGAAAAGATTCTGTGACATGTGAGAATTTTACCCATGTGGCAAGGTGGCCTGACACAGAAACTCTGTCAATACCTTGATTTGCAGTGCCTGTGTATTCCTGTTTTTGCTTTGAACTCTCCAAGTTTGAAGCTAAAAAGCCTGTTGGAAGTTACAGAGCTCACATTATCAATTTTACAGGGACCCAGCATATTAACTTCACAATTTTATAACAATACAATGGCAATGCAAACTACCCTCACATGCACTGCAAACAATCAGAATGTTTTACAGAGGAATAGAGGCTGGGAAGCACAGAGAACATCTGCTGACCTGCTGCAGCCAGCCCTACCAATTGAATAAACCTCACAGTATTTCACGACTTTCTCGAAATCTTTACTCTTGGGAAACTGAACATCTCAGTTTGCTTTTGAAGTGTCAGAAACCAGTTCTGGTTTTTCACCCTACTCAGCTGCTCAATCCTGCCTCTGTGCCACCCTCCCTTTGTGCAGGTGCAAGCACTGAAGTAAATCACATTTAGGAACAAAATCCATTTTTGCTTTTAGCTGTGCTGAATCTACCTGCACGCAGGCCCTAATCCAGTTTAGTCATAGCTGCACAGACGTTAGCACCAGCACAAAGGGAGGGAGAGTAGAGGATATAAACCAAATCTGCTGCTTTCAGCAGCTTTACCAGCTTAAAAATGATTCATGAAATGGACTACATTTCCAGATCGAGAGAAGTTTGAGAACTCTTCCCCATTTCACCCTAAAGGCAAACACCATTTGAGAAACAATTAGCTCTCTCCCTCCCCAATTTTACCGGGGCATGAGTCCAGAACAAGGCTTAACTTTCGGGGACCCACACTGGTTCCAGGTGCTTCGGTAGTACAAGCAGTGGCAAAGAGCCTGATCCTGCACCCAAAGCAGGCTACAGGAGACTTGCTCTGAGCGTCCCTGGGAATTCAGTTCTAACATAAGAGAACTGAACTGAAAAATGCCCACGGCACAGAAGTGTATCAAAACCCCATCCTTGTACTCAGCACGCACCACATGACAAATACACATTTACATTGCATCAACTCTGCTCAGGCATTTCAAGACTTCTGTGTAAATATGAAATGCTACAGACTTTCTGCCAACAGCAAACATACATACAAATACAATTTAAAGTTTTGATTTATTTTTTTTTTATAATAATTTTCAAAACCATGCTGATGTTTGCTGCTCTTCATCCCAGGTAGCAGTTAACCTACAGACACTGGCTGCAAGAATGACACTGTCCTCAAACCAACAGACCCATTCAGCTAGCTCAGTAGGCAAGACCTATCCTTCTGGATCCTGATGCAGAACAGACATTTGAAGCATCAGCGCTCTCTCACCAATATGGAAATAACGTGTGAAAACTCTTATTTACTGTATAATATAGACAACAAGGAGAAAGCTGCATAGCGAGGCATTTTCACTTACGTGGTTTATATAGAGACTCTTGCGTTTTTCTCTCACTGCAAAAAACACAAAATATGATAGAAATATTACATGACTATTTTTCCTGATTAAGCTTGTTATATACCATTCATAATAAAAACAGGAGACTATCTACGTGTAACATTGTCATTGCTTTTGCACTAACCAAGTACACATACATCAAATAGAGAAAAACACGTATCTGTATGTTTAAAGGCATTTACACTCGCTAGTGTGGTGAGGGATTAAAATTCTCATCCTTTTGGGTACTTCACTAGGTGTTGGTCCGCGTGGGGAAGTTAATATGCAGTAAGCTACAGTCTGAGTTAGCAACAGATCCTTCACCACCCTTCACCAGAGATCTGCGTGGGCATCACCCGTGCCTTTGTGCGAGGCACCTTGCTGCAAAGTGGCCTACTCTGCCTTGCAGGTATGAAAGCACCTAAAGAGCTGCACCATGAAGTCAGCAAATTCTCATTGTAGCTTACTGTGCACTAACTCCCACTGAAGAGCCTTGAAACCATATGTGTTACACCACTGGCTTCTATAATGGTAAGGTGCAAGCCTGAAGCTATTACTCATGTCGATATAACAATGTAAGCGTATTACATTGGTGGGTAAGAACTAGTCACCACAAGCAAGGGTTGCAAGTCAAAGCCACAGTTATTAGCCAAAATATTCACAAAGTAAACAGCAGCAACAAGGGAGACAGATGTACAGAGTCTTAATTGTCAGGCAAATACTTATCACAGCTGATTAAATATACTCTATTTAATTTTTTTAAGCACTTTCCCAATTAACTCACCCCATAGAGAGCCCATAGAGCTCCGTTCCAGTGAAAATACCACAGCATTTAGGATACAAGTCTGGAGGCAACTAATTCATAAATCAAACTGCAGGATTAAAGTAATAATGGTTTCATGCTGTAGATGATTAAATGCACTTGGGTGCACTATGAGTTGAAAGCTACGCAACCCAATGCACTTAGCAAAATAAGAGCAATGTCGCAACGACAGGCTAGCCTGTCCATTCCCTGTTGGATGAGAAGCCATTATTCGTGACTTTTTAGAAGCAAGCAATCTCACATAAACAAGGTTGTATGTGTGGATACTGTGAAATAATTGTGTTTAATGCAGACATAAAATGAAAAGAAAATAAGGAAAAACTTTAAAAAATCCTTACATAATTTTCCTCCCAGGGAGCAGAAAGGAGAATCACACATGACAAGATGTTAGCCATGTCACTTAGTACATGCTCAGATCCACAATTATGGACATTGTATAAGAAACAGAATTAAACAGGAGGAGCACAAAAATTCAGATTGTCTAGCGAATAGTTAAACTGCTTGAAATCCTGCTAAAACACTGCACTACACTTACGTTCCATATACTGCATTTATAACCAGCAAGGGACATAAGTAACCTCCAGGGAAACAACAAAATGTTGACAGGTACTCACTTCTAGAACAGAGCAAGTATTTGTCTAGTATTGCATATTGCAATATACAGGCAGTAAACAACTCTGATAAACTGCATGTACACCTAACAGAGTACACAGGTGAAAATTAACAGCTATTAAATACTTAACTGTGTTCAAAATTTCACAGTTAACAGACAACAATCACAATTTTACCATACACAGAATTATTATGGACAAAATTCTATAAACACAGCCTGCATATGAACTCCAAATCCCAATTTTTAATCACCTTTTTTCCCTACCTTCATCTTTATCTTCTGTATTTTTCCTTGTACCCATTATATTATTCAATAAAAGTACAATTATCTATTGACCAAAGCAAGAACATCACTTGCAGCTCATTGCCATTGCTATCTCCTGTCTCCAGAAGAATGTCTCACTGTATTTATACAGACCCCTCACTTCTCACTGTTCAAACACTGCTTGTGCTGCACATTCTTCCAACCACCACCTTGACCTCCTTTCCCTTATTCTTCCCACATAACAGAAATTCAGTTGCCTTGATTGTTCAGTGAGGCAAGAAGGCAGCTGTGCTTTCGTGCTTCTGGACCATTCTGCCACGGCGTGGGGCTCAACTCTTTCCAGAACATATGCTGATGGGAAATAGGGCAGAGCAGAAACCCATTTTGTCACAACTGCTCTCTTTTGTGATCATAAACCTCCTATTAGAAAAAGGACAGACAGCTACTGCAAAAAGGCAGGAAGACACTTCTGCCAGGCTTCCACAACTGTTGTTGTAGAAAGGCAATTCTCTGTTACTTGGCTTCGGTGAGTTTAGAGATGCTTTCTACTGCTTGCGTGGTGTTCAGCAGACCACAGACTGTAGCTTTATAATTAACCATCATTTCACAGCATAAACTCCTAACTACAACTCCAGGCTTTTGACTTTGATGGGTTTTGGATGAAATGATGCTGAACAGATTTAGAGTCACAGTTTAAACAATTTCATGAAAAAAAAAAGTATTTTATTTCTTATATTTTAAAACTTGAAAGTTGGAATGAAATTCTTCAAGTGGAGACTGAGATACTGCCAAATTTTCTTATTTTTCTTCATTTCTCATTTCTGCGGGCACTTTCTTTTGTTATTATTGAACTTTTGCTATTGTAGGAAAACATACCCTGAAATAAAAGGGAGTGAGGAAATACACACACACACACATATATATGTACATGTATGCATTTTTCACTGAGATGTAGTAGATGTCTCGTTTGTGCAATTTCTATAGACAACCTCAATGCTACCCACACCAGCACAGAAGACAAAATCCTCAAGGATAACATCAATGAAGATGTCTCACATTTTGTTTGCAGATCATTTTATTTTGTCTTGTCTAAGAAACAGCAGACTCATCCTGCTTAACAATAAAAATAAAATGCAGCCTAGTTTACTCCTATCCACTGTATAAATATAATTTCAAAATGTTATTTGTCTAAAGCCAATTGTTACACTGATATTGCAAAATTTAGCCAATAAATTCAAATGTGTAAGGCCCAATATAAGTTAGGAAAACAGGACAACCGTAACCCACTTACAGGAAAGACCAGTACCCTGAAAGAGGAAACACTGTCCTCTTGCTATTAAAAGGAAAGGAAGTGACATTATTGGAATGCTGGGGTTTGGAAACCCTGGCTTAACCACAACCACGCACTGAACAGTGCATGGCTTTTCAGTCATCCAGCTCGTCTTGTTTACAGGCCAAATTCACCAAACAAACAAGAACTTGCATAAAGTACTCAAAGTTGTTAAAGAAATAAAAGGTGATTCTCTACTATCTCCCTAATCAGGGAGAATCACTCATGTAAGATGTAGCACCTAGTAAACTCCTACAAAGAGCTGGAAGCATTTTAAAAAGCTATTTTAGTTAGATATCAAATTAATATTTATTGTGTCTTCAAATCCTCTCCAGAGTCACTGGACTCTCAGGTAATTAAGGGTGTAGGCAGCGTACTGACTGTGAGGGCCAGGACAGGTCCAGGTGCTTAGCCTGGCATCTAACAGAACAGTGGGAAATTCAGACCATATAACACCCAGAGATGCCACGTCCTGTTCCACTGTATTTGGGGTAGTGAACTTGTTGCTCTTCACTCATGTGTTGCTCACAAGCAGCTCAAAGTGCAGCTCCTGTGCCAGGGCAGTACCACAAGCTCACCAGAAGAAAGCCAAATGTGGGTTTCAGAAAGCCAAACGTGGAGTTGCCTGAAGACAACGCTGCCACATTGCTCTTGCCTGTAGTTATGGACTGGCTCTTTCCCACTATACAAATATGTAATGGACACTCAAAAGCCACAGCCGGATCCTGGATGAAACCCAGAGTCCTGGTATTCCTCAGCTCTCCGATATGTGTTTTAAACATCTGCAGTTCTTGTCTATAAATATATTTTCATTTACTGTTAACAGTCAGGACAGCCCAACACTATATATGTAACGGAGAGAAGTAGTTACATGTCCAGGTTAGGTGTTTACAGTATTGCCAGTTCAGCTCTCTCCCCTTCCACACTAACTTCAGGTACCTTGTAGATCTCCTAGGTCCTACAGCAGGCTGTCACACTCAGGGGTGTTAGGAGTTACCATACCGTTCAGGGATGTTGCCTATCAGCTCACTTATTTCCACGACAGTACCAGAATACAGCCAAGCAAAATGCCAAAATGCTTATGACAGTGAGTTGTCCCACCTGAATGGCATGATTTTTGGCAATAAATCAGTAGATAACTGTTTGCAGAATTTTATTTTTTTTTATTTTGTACAAGCCTTTGCATTTTTACCACCTTGATCAAGGATAGTTGAACAGATCTTATACCCTTGTTGAAAAAGTTTCAATATTTTTTCAATAAATTCATTGTTCTCACTCAAAACCATGTAAGTTTTTGTATTACTTAAGCTAGAACAAGGTTTCATAGACCAACCCTAGCATGGGTGTAAACTATCATATTAAAAAATTCTTACAGCTAACTCCATCTTGCAATAAATTAACCGCTATTACTACAAGTAAGAATAATCACTAGGTGTGGTCAAAATTTAAGTTGGTGGACCTGGAATTGTTTTTTCATTTTTCTTTTCCAACAAACTGCAATGAGAAACATGCAGCATCCATATGGGATTATACAATCTCAAAGCACTATAAAATAGACATCGATCTTGACAACACAGTATACTACAGAAATATTATCATACTCATTTCACAGACTACCAAGGCAGACCAAGATGGTAAATCACATCCAAAACTACATAATAAGGCATTGACAGAACTACGCTGAATTCAGGACAATCTGAAGGGCAAAAGAGGTACTCATATAATCAACTCTTCAATCAGGGCCTAAATGTATCCTCTTTGTACTAGTCAAGCTCAAAAATTAGCAAGAAATATACAGTATGTGAAAACTACATTTTCTTTTTAAAGTGATATCCTTGACACTGCAATTTACTATGTAAATCAAAAATGGCATTTATAGGCAACAGAAAGAAGGACAAAGAATTCATACAGTTCAGAATTACAATGTAGAAATTGCTTTGAAAGTCTTGGTAGAAAATAATGTGTTTTGCATCAATTATTCTCATCTACTTCTAAAACAACATGTCATACATGTCCAACAGGGAATGAAAAAGCCAGAGTAAATGGCTTCTGTTCTACTACGTCTATCAAGAGGCCTGCTTAACAGATGTAATTCCAGAGAGATTATTTTGTCTATGAATAAAAAATAATAAAAAAATACTCCAGACAAATATATGATTACATCAAATCCATAATGAAAGAAGACAGAACATTTGGGTGGGAAGACAGTTATTTTGTTATTAAAATTTAGTACTGAACTCATTTACAGTATCAGCTATATCAGAGGAAACTCTGGACTGTCTTCTAAGCTAATGTAAACTGTCATTTTTCAGGAAAATACTTCTAAATCTCATTTCCAAGAAGCTTAGCCTGTTGTTCAGCGTGTTAGAAGAAAACAAAACAAATTTAAAAAAACAAAACAAACAAACAAACAAAAAAACAAACAACAACAAACAGTTGCACAGATACTTTTTAAAAATATATTAAGCTTTACCTATACTTGTAGTTTTGATACAATGACTACTTGGATCTTATAATTTCAAGATGACAGGACTCAAACCTGTATCTTTTACTGCTCAGTATGACAAAATAATTAACTAAAGGTTTGGCTTCTTTCAACTCTAATCTGATGCCTATAAAAGCCTCTTTTTGGGGGAGGGAAATTATACATTAAGTAGCTATCACATGCATTCTAACAAAGACTTCATAGATAACTGCAGTAGTGAATACTGTAATAAATTCAGTAACCTACCATCTGTTTGAGATTTACTGAGAAATATCGTACTGGCCCGTGGATGATCTGATGGGTTGAATTCCATGTTCAAATCTGGAAAGAAACAAATTTTAAAAATAGCATGTTAAAACATTTGATAATCCAGCAGTATGCACAGATTTCTTATTAAGAAGACCGATTTTACATTACTGTAAAATAAAATCAATCTCGATGTCCACTTTTTTTTTCTTTTTTTTTTTTTTTTTTTTATTACCCTTCACACAAGTAGCTCTTGTTGGTATGCAAATGCTTTGCATTAACACAGCTTTGGGATTAGACTTGTGTTCTAAGGGCTGCTTTGCTTTTGGATGAAAACAGATAAAGCAGCTTGAAAAGCCTGTACACAAGAAGTTGGGAATTATCCATTTTCCATTAGTTTCTTCTTCCATACCCCGAAGCCACTGCTAAGTGCAGGAATACAGCTTGTTGTATGTAATTACAGAGGCATGAAGTATTATAAAACAAATATGCAGCCCTCTGTAGATAGATGGGTTTCCATGATTAGATGTGATTACATAGTAGGTATTGAAGCTAGCTAAATGTAAACGAGTTAAGTCTAGCCCAGACTGTTTTAAATGGTCAAGATTACTAAAGCTTAGAACTTTTCTGACACTTCACGGGTGAACATACTTCTTGCTGTAACTTCTAAAAAAAAGTCCTCAAAACAGGTTGAAGACTTGAATCTATCACAGCATATATGAACTTCGAGAAATGTTATTTTCCCTAGTAGGATTAAAATCCCTTGAATTTACTTGTTCCAAAATTCCACTCTGCTACCAATTCTTCAAACACTTGAATGCTTGCATCCACTTGAAAGCATGGTGCTAAAACACAGCACACCGCTTTTTATCTTTTTTCTTGCTCTCCCAGTATAACTGCTTCAACCTTAGTTCTTTTATATTCCCTTGATCTCTAGATATACTTTCTCTCGCATTTGATACAGGCCATTTATGCAAAGCTACCTATGGGCATTGATAAGTTTATCTCTGGTGATTCACCCAGGCTTTCTACATTTCTGTCTCCCCTCCATCTCTGAAAACTCACAAAAACTGAGAATCAAGTACAGACTTCATGCTCTCCTGGTTTCCTTTCCATCTCCCTGTATTCTGCAGCCCATGTGATCGTGATCATAGAGTCATATCCCAAGTTGGGAGGGACCCACAAGGATCATCAAGTCCTACTCCTGGGTCCCTGAAGGACCACCCCAAAACTAGACCCTATGTCTGAGAGCTTTGTCCAAATGCTCCTTGAACTCCAGCAGCTCAGCGCCGTGACCACTTCCCTGGGGAGCCTGTCCCAGTGCCCGACCACCCTCTGGGTGCAGACCCTTTCCCTAACCCCCATCCTGACCCTCCCCTGTCCCAGCTCCATGCCGTCCCCTCGGGTCCTGTCGCTGTCCCCAGAGAGCAGAGCTCAGCGCCTGCCCCTCCGCTCCCCTTGTGAGGGAGCTGCAGGCCGCCATGAGGCCTCCCCTCAGCCTGCTCTGCTCGGGGCTGAGCAAACCCAGGGCCCTCAGCAGCTCCTCATATGCCTTCCCCTCCAGACCCTTCACCATCTTTGTAGCCCTGATGAGCAGCCTGACACGCTGCTGGTACTTGGAGATCACTTCTGGAGTAAATAATGGCCTTCCTACTTCCTAGGAAGAACCTGGAAATATAAACAAATACAAACAATTCTTCAAGATAGAAAGGGGGCTTATTACTATTATCAAAGCCACAAAGGAGAGGGCGAAAAAATAAATAAATAAATAAATAAATAAAAGACTTTCAGGGGGAGTAATTTTGATTCTCTGAGAAACCACACTTCCCAGCCAAGCATGGAGAAGATTTTCAGTAGGCCATTCTCCTACTAGAAGTTCTGAATTGGAAAGACTGGGAATTGGAAAGAGCATTCTCTTGTTACTGTCTGCAGCTTATCTAGACATGGAGATGAAGAAGAAAAATTACCCAGCGTGACAGATAGCGCTGGTGAAGATTGTTTTTCATTTCAGGATAGTTTCTCCATTAAGCTAAATTTCCATTTGCATCAGGATGCAAATCATTAAGTAAAGAATAATCAGTATTTTAAAACAGCAAAATACATTGCTTTTTATCATCCTGTTAATCTTCCATCAAACAGCACAATACATTACCAGTAAAAAGTGCATTTTTTTTATAAACGGTTACAGACAGTTTTTCTATAAAACCCTTTAAAGTACAGCAAGGCAAATTCAGTCAACAAAACAGGACTGGTAAAAATACAACTGAACTCAACTGTCAAAACACTGCCCCCAAAGAGGCGAGCATTCCTCTCCTTCATGCCTAGAAAATTGTCTGCTTGGGGAGTAATAACAGCCTGGTACAGGTTTACAGTCTGCTTGCAGGGCTGAAAAGAAAGAAAACCAATTGCCACATCTTGCAATCAAGTTGCAACTATTTGAGATTCCTGTGTTATAAAAGACTATTATGCAGAAGCAGTGAAACAATGGAGGACTTAAAATCTTTCTAAAAAAGCATAAACTGTTATTCTGGCAGAAGCTGAAAGAAGGCCAGCAAGATCCCACCTCAGCAGCTGCAGAGGCCAGAGCAAGGATTTGGAACCAGCCTGGGAGAGGACAGATCCCTCCTTCCAGGCAGCACCATGGCTCCGTCCCACTCCACCTGCCCCAGACCATCCATCCTGAACCCTTCAGATTATGTGTCTTCTTCTGTCCAAGATCCTTCTTTCACGCCCTCCCCCAAAACAGCAGCCAAACACATCTGTCTGTTTTTCCTTCAAGTGCCCTCACGAAAATTAGAGGAGATAACATGTCTAAGGGAGAGGCAAAGCCCATCAGGCTTGGTCACCCAGTGCAAGGTGGCCAGAAGAAGGTAAGTGCTACTAATAGAGGCTGTCTCCCTGCTCCCTTTGAGGAACAGCACAGCTCCTGGGGGCTTGAAAAGCCCTGGTTGTTTGGTGTGTGCCTGCAACTCCACCACTCCCTGTTCTTCCCAGGAGAAGCGTGAGGCAAATCTGAGCACCCCACAGGCCACCAGCAGGACCATGCTTCTCCAGGCCATCACTGCCACCATATGGAGAGATTAAAGCAGATACAGTTTCACAACACAGAAGGAAGACTTTAGTTGCTAGTTGACCTTAGATGTCTCCATTTACTGTACAGCTTGAAAAGAAATGCCTCTTTGAATCTGGCAACAAATTCTTACACATCTGTCATTATAAACAGTGCCGTAAGGGATCAAATGCTATCAGCATGTGAGGTTACTAACGTGCCACCAATGGGCATTACCCATCCAAAAGTTACCTCCATCCCAAAATCATACTGCTTTCGTGATCTTAGTAATTCTTTCTAGCATTTGAAAAGCATTCACGAAAAACAGCCACAATATGAATGCTTTACCCATTTTGTAATGGAATAGCTGATGACAGAGAGAGATTTAAACTCACACAAGCAATATTCAACTCTTAGAGAGGCAAGTGAGAGCCAGAATTTCAATCATCAAAATCTGTACAAAAATTTGATCCATTACTAGCAGTCTGCTCTGTGACTCATCATAGCCTTACAAAGGAAGGATTTGAAGTGGATATTTTTTCTAGCAGTTACCCTGCATTCCAAAATGCTTTTAAGAAAAAAAAAAGTCACTGTCTCTCCAAATCCCAAATCCTTCACTATAAATTTTATTTCCAGGAAATACTTGTTCATGATTAATGGACATTCTTCTTAATTACAGATTCTTTGGTTTTAGAGTTTCTGCAAGGATTTCATTTATTTTAAAAATGATGGAGCAAGTAACAATTGACACAACGATTTAGAGAGCAACCCAGTATCTTGAAAGAATTTAAGATTACAATAATTATCATCAATAATAAATACAAATAATAATAAATTATTAGTGTTTATTCTTTTAAAATATTTAAGTGTAGATACTAGGTATTAAACTAGCGAAACACTTATGAAGCCTTAGCCAACCATAATACCTATTTCTATAAGTTGCTTCAGTAAAGCTACTTAAATTTGGGAAGGAAAAAAAAGAGTAACAATGCATTTTTCTCCTTAATGGCATGTTTTTAATAGTGAAGTCACTTAAGATACAGTAACAAGTTAATTGCATGCTGGAACATACCCAAGAACTACACAATCCAGTACCATGCTTTTGTCCACAGTGGGCACCTCTGATTTTGACATCTTTTGTTCCAGTTAAAATAAATGCAAGATGGAAAACCCACAAATAAATCAACCCCTCCTGACCACCACTGAAAGTAAAATTAGCTAGGCTCTACTTTCTTCCAGAACATAAACCCATGATACATGACAGTATCATTTGCAGTTCAGATCTCATATTCGAGATTCCCAAAAATTTATGATTCTAGAGCAAAAAAAGCCCTACATCTTATCCCTCTGTACTGGAGTTAGTCAAACCTGTAGCCACCTAACAATAATTGAGACCTTAAAATCAAACCAAGAAATGTTACATAGAGAGGAAGTATTTTCCTAGATCTCTTCATAGTTCAAAAATCACTTTGGATTTTTTTTCCCCAGTTCCAAAGGACTAAAATATAGCTCCCATATTGGAAACACCTAAACAGTGTGATGTCCCATGAAAGTTTCAGGTTTTATTTGACTTCTCAGGATTACAAACCAAAGGTGTGTGTCTATTTATAAATGTACACATAGGCATGCATAAATCTGTATCTATAATAAAGACAGGTATTTATACAGATACATATATATCTATAAATATATATATGTAGAGAAAGATGCATCTCTATTATATATGTCATTGTCTTGGGTTTACATGACAAGGTTATATTAGCAGGGGGCCTGCAGAGGTGGCTTCTGTGAGCAAAGCCCAGCTGCTGCCCCAAGTCAGATCAGAGCCTGCTCCAGACAGCTCCAAAAGGTACCTGTCACTGGCCAGAGCTGATCCATGAGTGCTGCTGTTTGGGCCTCTGGGAGAGCAGATTGAAGGAAGGGGAAAAAAATCAAAAACAAAAACAGCCTTGCTGCGTAACAGCAGCTGGGAGACAAAGAGTGAGAACCAGCCCCACAGGCCCCAAGGTGAGTGCAGCAGGAGGGC